CGTCAGCCTTCCTGCTCCTATGATGCTGCTTGGCCTGCTGTGTTCATACAGCTCTACACCTTGTTATCTCTTGTTTTCTTTAGCTGTTTGACCTTGACAGTATCCATTACACCAGCAGTCAAGTTATTTTAATTCTTGTTTCTGTTATTGTGGCAGAGAGCGAACAATCATACAACAAATAGGCATGAAGTTTAGACTTTCTCCACTAAAACTATTAGCACATTTATCACCTTAAGAATCACAAAGAAAGATGTTACTTTACATCACAGTCATTATAACTAGTCACCAACACCAGTGACATACTTACAAATGCCATCATGATCTTTGCTGTGTGTGTTTTGAACTGCTGACGATGCAGTCCTAGAAAATAAAGACAAAAGTTGGCCCAAATGTGCTCTCGATATAATGGGAATTAATGGCACAAATATTAATAAGCAATAAATGCTATATATAATGATGTATTAACGTACAGCTACATGTATTGCATAAAGTCAAGTATTGGATTAACATGAATCATGTGACATTCTCACCTCTGAATTTTTTGACATTTCTTTTGACCTGAGGGATATAAAACAATAATGCAATGGTGAAATGCCTCAAATATGATCGTCAATGTCAATAACATAAAACAAAGAACTGCGGGGTGTTGGATATCAGAATCAAAAACAAAGAATGTTAAAGAAAGACAGCAGATCTGACACTATCTCTATTGACAGAACAAACAGAAATCTGAAGCACAAAGGGACTTGGGAGTCCTAGATCAGGATTCTCTTCAGGTTAACATGCAGGTTCAGTTGGAAGTTAGGAAGGCAAACGCAATATTAGCAGTTATTTTGAGTGGGCTAGAATACAAGAGCAGGGATTTACTGCTGATGCTGTGTAAGGGTCTGGTCAGCCCATATTTGGAATGTTGTGAGCAGTTTTGGGCCCTGTATCTAAGGAAGGATGTACTGATCTTGGAGAGGGTCCAGAGGAGGATTACATGAATGATGCCAGGGATGAGGGGCTTGTTATACGAGGAGCAGTTAACCACTCTGGTTCCGTACTCGATGGAGTTCAGAAGGATGAGGTGGGGGTGGTGTCTGATTGAAAACTACAGAATACTGAGAGGCCTGGATAGAGTGGACGTGGAGAAGATGTTTTCAGGAGTAGGAGAGATTAGAACCTGAGGGCACAGCCTCAGAGTAAAAGGACAATCCTTTAGAACCGAGTTGAAGAGGAATTTCTTCAGCCAGAGGGTGGTAAATTTGTGGAACTCATTGCCACAGAGGGCTGTGGAAGCCAAGTCATTGATTGCCTTTAAGACAAAGATAGACAGGTTTCTTGAGTGGAAAACGTGATCCGGGGTTACGGGCAGAAGGCAGGAGAATGGGGCTTGAGAAACTTACCAGCCATGATCGAATGATGGAACAAACCTGATAGGCTAAAAGGCCTAATTCTGCTCCTATATCTTGTGCTGTTATAACCTTCGTAAGTTGCTTGACAGAGTCATTGCTGAGAGGATGTTTCCCCATCATGGGAGACTCTAGGACCAGAGGGCACAGTCTCAAATAAAGGGGCACCAGCTGAAGACTGTGAGATGACGAGGAATTTCTTCTCTCAGAGGGTTGAGAGCTTTTGGAACTCCTTGCCACAAAGTTATGTTTGTGTGGTGGTTGGGGAGGGTGGGGTTGGTGTCCAGAGGCCTTGTGTATATTTAAAGCTGAGATACATAGATTCTTAATCAGCTGGGGAATCAAGGGTTACAGGCAGGAAAGTGGACGTGGGGCCTGAGGGATCAGCCATGATCCTAATGAATGGTGGATCAGGCTCAAGAAGCCCCACAGCCTACTCCTGTTCCTATTTCTTACGGTTTTATGGATTTGGAATGTTAAGTCTGTTTCTCTCTCGCTGCACAGATGATGCTAGACCTGCTGAGTTTCTCCAGCCATTTCCATTTCACTCAATTTT